CAATTTAAAAACCACCAGGATTCTTCCCAGAGAGGGAGGTGACCAAAACCTAATGGTCAATTCTCTGCATAAAGAGGCTGAAGAGAAAAATGGGACCCTTCCAAAGGAAAACATCAATCCATCACTTCACCAATCAGCCTTTGCTGAAGAAGGCGCTCATCCACATAAAGCGCATATGACTCTGAAGTCTGGCATGTGAGTCGGCGTGTATCGTGACCCTCTGAAAAGAATACATTATATCTAAAGGTCTGATAAAACTAAAATGGACTTGAAGTGGAAATTTGAGACTGAATGTGCTGTCCTTTAGAAAGGTTCTCTCCCATTGACCTTCTAATTTGTAAAGCTTTGGAATTTTATCTATTGCAAAAAAAACTACAAAACGAATTCAATAAATAATCAGGATTACTTTAGGGTTATTGTATTAGATATACAAAAATAAATTAACCAGTGTATTAGGAGAGCAAGTATGCAAGAATATACGTCAACATATTATCTAAAAAAAATACATTACAGCAAATAAAAAGGTAACATTGAACACTGTTATTGGATACCTGGAGTGGCTTTGTGAGAGTTCTGCCAATTTTAGGACATAAAGACGAATTGGAGACATCTTCAAAACTTTTCTCTGTTGATGAAGGACCTGGACAGTCAAAAAGTGTCCCAAATTTGAGTGAAAACCTTGGAAGTAGATTATGAAATTCAGGTTATATGTCCACACTCCCACTACTGCGAGGGAAGTTCACCAAATGAAATAAGAAAAAGCAGAAACATCATGACATTCGTCCAGAAAAAACAAGCGAATAATTCAACTTCAATTCAAATCACTTTATTCTTGTGATAGCCCTAAATCACAACAGCAATAAATCTCTGAGGACGTAACATCCAGAACCATAGATAATCACCAACACACGAGATCAGAGAATCAACAGTCAAGACACAAAAAATAGTAGAACACATATGTATTGGTCCATAAGGGAGACCAATGTCCCATGAAAGATGAATAAAAATGTCCATACATGTGTAATGTAATTGATCATCACCAACAGTCCTGCTATTTGGTCGCTTAACTTTCCACCCGACCCTCCTGCTTCGGCAAGGAAAAAACTCTAATATCCCCTGGGGAGAAAAAGGTAGAACCCTCCAAGGGAGATCCACAATGAGAGAGGGAATCGCTCCGACAACGGACAAATGAAGCTATAGATCCCAGGACCTATAGCTAGAGAACGAGGACCAAGGCCACACAGCGGGAAATTGACAGGTCCGGGTGTCAGACTCCTGCACAAGTTTAAATGTAAACTATTATAGATAATCCAACCACATTGTGTGTGATTTAATCCACACACAAAAATCAGAAAAAATATCAAAATCAAGCCAGCCATCTGGTCTTGAAAAGGATTGAAACAATACGATCTGTTTTTCAATGATTAGTTTTTTTCCCATCCAATTGCACACAATTTTAGGTAAAGGGACACTGTGTAATATTAGTGCCATCTACGTTGAGATCTATATTGCAGTCTACTCATGAACGTGCCTTAGAACAGTTGAGGAGCACTGCCAAGACCAGAGTTCCTCGACCTCTCAATTATTCCCTCCAGAAAGCCAAGGAAAGATACTTTTAGTTTTGATTAATGACCGGATCTCTCCAAACGGCTCAGGTCACATGAACAGTCGTGTGGGAGTGCGACGGTAAACTAGACAGCTTTCAGACACTGCACCCCGCTGCACAGAGGCCCAACGAGTGTGTTACCCGATGGAATCTATTATAATATTTAATTTTACAAACGCGTGTTAAGAGAAGAGAAGCATGAAGGATTAACTCTGAGGGAGTCTTAAAACTACATGATCAAGAGAAGCAGGAGAGTATACACAGCCTGCAGCAGGACATGGCAAAAAGCTCATGTTGGCATTCAGCGTTAGCCACAGCGCCATTTCAGCAGATAATGGTAAAAAAACAGAATATTTCACTCACGCTGCTGATAAAGAGTTCATGTGATTGTTTTGTGGATTCTGAGTGGTTTTATTTGGAGGCTTGTTCCTGAATAAGTTAATATTGGAAGCTTTGACGTACAGCATGCCTTTGATCGGTCAGAACATCCTGAACTGTGTTGCAGATTCTGGCTCGTTCTCATTATTAGTCAGTAAAAAAGAAAAAAGTTACGTATTGTTCAGTGTGAGCTGTTTGTGTACAAACTACACAATGTGCCTCCTGATGTGTTATACGCTGTCTTTGGTGTGTGTGGTTTGCGATTTGACACTTTGCAATGACGCTGGACTTCTGCATAAATTAATTTTAGAACGGGGTTCTGAAATGTGAAATAAAAAGATAGGCGCAGCCATAGTACTTTTAAAGTTTATTCCCAAAATAAAGAATAATAAAGTAATAAGAATATAGTAAATGGAAGTAAAAAGTATCGAAGGGAGTGCGGTAACCCAAAAACCAAAACCAGATGATTAACATATTTTACAGTATTTTTTATCCCGAAAAAAACCATATTGCAAAAGGTCTCCTGGCTTACCTCCTCTGTCCCAGTTCAACTCCACTGACACTGACAGTAGAGGCTGGCCTAGTCTTAAACCCCTCTGGCTCCTCCTACATGTCAATTAAGTATAAACTTTTTAAGTTTCTACATAAACCATGATTACGGTCATAATAACAAAAAATATGGATAAATCCCATCCACTCTCCTACTGTAGATTCTCCTCGCAATGCACCTGTAGACTACAGAGGAAAAATATAAAATACATTCCAAAAAAAAACCGAAAAATACTATGACGTCTCCAATGACGTCAGACGCAGACTACAAGAGAGGCGCTCAAAACAGGAAGCGCGACTGCGCTCGGTGTGCCCGGGTTGGAGTTTGGTGGGGAGACGGATACTACTGAGTGGAAACTTATGGAGTGCAAAACAATGGATGGGAATGGTAACCAGAGGCCTATGTCGCACCCAAGACAACTGGGATGAATTACCTGAAGCGAGGATTGTAACGGAACGGACGGACAAGAACAGGAAACGTAACAAACCAGGCAAGTGAGTTAGGTATTATGCAGTTTGCGTGTGTGCGGGGGAAAGTGCGCGCGGACTGGGGAGACTGCCCTGGGCATTGACAGGCGCTCCCGTCACTTATCCTTCTCCCTCCCGAAGGTTGACAATAGTTTTGGCAGCTGGACAGTATACGGTCTACCAAATTGGATCTGCCAGAACGGAGGCGGACAGCAAACTTGAAGGCTGCAATGAAAGAATACCATCGAGTTAGACGGGCATTAGGGTGGTCGTTTCATAGAGTTGATCCATGTGAGGGCGCTAGGGTCCGTTTCTAGATCAAACTCATCAGTAACTCTCCACCAAGTAAGTCATATTTAGAACTCTGTTAGGGCCCATTTGATGGCTAATCCTTCTTTCTCTACGGAGTACGGATTCTCGGGGTAGATAACTTGCGGCCTCAGGTACAGGAACGGCTGCTCGGCTCAGACTACCCCTTGGTAAGTAAAGCTCCAGACCCACCTCCGAGGCATCTACTTGCACGAGGAACCGACGTCAACAATCTGACTGCGGGGAGAACTGGAGAAGAACAAAGTAAAACAGAAATATTAAAAGCTCTTCACATGGCTTCTGTCCATGTACCGGTACTGTTTTATCTTTTGTCGTTAGGGGCTGAGAGTGGTGGCTGCGATTGTTGGGCAAATTGCGGCACGACAATGAACTCTGAGTACCTGATCCAGCGAGAACCCAGGAAGGATCGAACCTCCTTCTTGGGTTCGAGGACGAGGACACTTCTGGATAGCTTCCACCTTATCCAACTGCGGTCGCACTCTCCTCTACGAGCTGGTAACCGAGGTACCGTTTTCACGGCGAGCCCACTCACTTTGGCCACAATTTAGGGTCAAACCCAGCTGCCTCATCTTCTCAGCACGGCTCAAGTGACGCACATGCTTCATTCCCAGGTGGCGTGAAAATGACAACGTCAACCATGTATGGCAGCCTGAACTCTTCACATCTTGCAGTACAATACGGTCCATCAGACGCTGGAATGTATGCAGGGGCACCGTAGCAAACCGAAGGCATTACCGAGAACTGGAAAAGTCCTGCTGCGTTCCTTGAACGGTGTAAGGTCTGCTTGAAGTCCCCCCCCCCCCCCCCCCCCCCCCCCTCCACGGCACCTGCCAATAACCTTTACAACAGTGTTCAACTATTACAAGGAATTAATTATGTAAGGGATAACGTATATTACAAAGGTCATCATCGGAAAATAAGAATCTTCAGGGCGCTTCGCCCTGTCGGTACTTATTTTCTGCTAATGACCTGCGTAATATACGTTATCCCGCTTATTATACGGCTTTATACCAACAGAACACACAACATAAACTTCAGTCCACTTTTAGGAATGCCGAAAGGTTTATTTAAAATAAGAAAGAAAATAAAAATAGTTCCCAAAGCCTTTCCCGTGGCTATGCTAGCAACAGTTAGGCTATCAACTTCCAAACTAGAACTCCCTGGAACTGCATGAAAACTGAACAAAGAATTCTGAACATCAGCGGTGAGTGACCCAAACATAAACTTAACCTAAATCCCTAATTCGATCCTCTGCAAATGTTCCTAAAATGTGCCGGTATCTACTTCCGGGTTGTTCAGTTTTTTGTCATGAAAACGTAAATGGATAATTCTGAAAACTTCCGTGCACTTGTATTAAGAATGTATATGTATAATGTACTCTCCGATTAACATTTAATTGCGTTGATTGATTGTGGAGTTATCCACGCAACTGAAAGACAAGCAGAGAGTGCGTTGCCATGGGCAATGCCCATGTTGTTTTTAGAGGTCCGTTATAGAAAATAATGACCGGTAGAACGTTTTGAAATTACATTTAAATCAATGGAGCATTCTACTGCTGCTGTGAGGAGCCGTATAATAAGCTTAAATAGACCATGTCTTGTCATATTGCGAGGTATGACTTGCACAAGTGTTCTCAAGAGACGTAAATGAAGATGTAAAATTTGATTACCTTGATATTGGGATTCTTCAAGATAAATCCCCTGTACCAGCCTGAAATGAAAACATGTTATAACCAGCACAGACATTACATTTAATAACATTTGAAATGTCCAATTTTCATTAAGTTATCAATTGTGCACGTAATTTATCTCATGTAAGGGACATCCGGTCTCAACACTTTGACCCATCCTGTTACAATGACACTGAGGATTTTTATCAAGAAAGGGGTATCAAATCAAACCAAACTGGCCTCTTCTGGAACCACCTGACACCCCTGATAAACACGAATGCAGATACAGAGCAAGCATAAGCCAACATTTTCTACTGAAACAATCTTTCTGTATTGAGCATCTATCAAGTAATACTTCTCATAGAGACACTCAGCCAAAAATCATTTACTGCAGATGACTGTGTTCGAGCCAGAGCCACATATCAGCGCTGGTCATTTTTGCAGTCCAATGGTTTTATCAAGTGCCAACAGCGTCAACACAACAAGGCAAAGCTATTAGTGTGCTTTGAGCGAGATCCTCCTCTTTCCTCACCACTGACTGCTGCCAGAAGTTTCATCAAAATCTGCTGTAATTATAGAATTATCAAATCATAAAACCTCTTCTCAGTATGATTAGGTCTATGTAAGGTTCAAAAACAATTCATCGATATCCAAATGAGTTGACTAATTGGACTGATTAGTTAACCATTTTTATAAACAATAAAGTTGTGGTTAATCAATCAATTGTTACAGCATTATACATGTAGACTGCGTTACAACAGTGCTATCACAGCTGTTGTGTTGAGCCGGAATATATGTGTTAGTTGAGTTGTGTCATTGTGGTTTTAAACAGTAGACTGGAATAGATTATTAATTTGGAGTGGATTATACTGTAGTTGCTGCAGCCAATCAGCTCCAAGTACAAGGTCTCATAGTGACTCACATGGTTCTTCTTGCACATATGTGTTAGTTCAAATGTTTTTACAAAAAAAATGTGTGGCTGACTACAAACTGTCACAAAGAAATTGAATGCAAATACAAAACTGACTAAATTAAAAGTGAGGTACACTGCTTACAAATGTTACACCGCATTTCCTACTTCATTGGCACCTTTTATTGGTGTTTGTCATATGATTTTTTCTTTACTTTTAGATTAAATGAAAGCAGGAAAGTCAAAGTAAAGTATAAAGTATAAAAACAGATGGAGCGTGGGCAGCTAAGGCCGGAGAGTCAGTGAGTCCAGCGCACAGGAAGCCAGAGTAAACCTGAGCTTTCATTCTCCTCTGCAACAGTTGAAATGGCGCATGGCGGACCCGAATTAACAAGTCAATTTTTTTTACTCTAGTTATTAGAGCTTCCCCTGCACCAAAGCCAAGAAACTTATGCCTGCCTTTTGTTTGATTAATACAACTTCGTCTGTCCTTACTTAATGGAAGAAAATCTGCAAATGTAAACGCTTCCCTGCAGCAGTATTTTAAAAGACTAATGTTTAAAGAGAGGAAAAAGGATTATTCACTTTCACACAGCCCTGACATTGCAATGCTGTATTGCGTTGGAGTAAACAAAGCAATGAAAAAAGGTGTGGCAGGTAGATACTGTAGATATGTATGTAGTAGTTCAATAGTCATATTTTATTTATTTATTTATTTTTATGTATTGTGTTTATTTGAACATTGAATAAATGTATATAAAAACTATCAAACTGACTTCAAAACATAAATAAAAGATAAGGCTTTATTTGACAATTCAAGTCATTTCTACTATCCAAATACTTTCTTTTTGTAGGGGATTGGAATAACATAACCTTTTTGCTTCATCCAATCCCTTTTCAAAGCAAATCAAGGGACATTTAGAACAATTTGGGGTTGATATAGCCACGGCCCCGAAAAACCACAAATGTATACATTTTAATTGGAAAATGTTTAATTGCAGCTGTTAACTCACATCGTATGCAAAACAAACCAGCTTCAGTTGTTTCACAGATTTGGCTCCAAATCACTCCTAATCATAAACATATGAAACATCTAAAGTTTTGCGATGCGTTAAATGGTGTAGGAGCACATCTGGATGACTTACTTTCCATTTTTTACCATTCTGAAATTGATCCGGTGCACGCAAAAGTCCTATAATTACAAAAAATTGTGTTCAACTCTCGAGTCTAGGAGAGCTGAATGTGAAAAACCCATGAAATTGCAGAATTACCGCCTCCACAGAGTGAGCCAAAGTTTTACTTGGGGAGCAAGAAATGTATAATTTTTTTCACCAACGGGGCTCAACATTTCTCAACATCATACTCAAAACTCTATAGAGACACATAAGTTCCCATGTTATTCAATGATGATCATGTGCATTATAATTTCACAAAATCAGTGGTTCTTTTATGAGAGCTGGGATAAGGATGCATCAGTGCAACCTCCTTTGCAAGAGCCATTAGACACTGCTTTTGGCTTAATTGTTTGTTTGTATTTTTCTCTTTGGGTTCAGTGAACATTCCACAGTTTATTTGACATGAATTGTGCCAAATAACGAGTGTATTGAAAAACATATAAATGTCAAAATTTCCAAGCAATCATTTCATGATTGCTGGTATATTATTTGCTTGTAGTGCTGTCCAAGCAGGCTTCTTAGGCAGCGTTTGTGTGTTACCTTCGCATTTCTCCAGAATCTGCACCGTGTCTCCAATTTCCAGCGGGAGGCCATGTTGGACGGTCCCTCGGAAACTGGCCAGAACTGAAAAATCAAGAGGAGACATGGCATAAGTACAGATGTAATGTCTTTGTAATTAAATGTATATGCACAAACTGATACATAAAGCATATGTACACAGCTCGCCCACAAACATAATCGGTTACGCAATGAGCCCTAACTAAAGCGGACTACTCGAACATCCAGTTTGTGTTTTTTTTTTTACGGTGTGAATATTGTATCATTTTCACACATGGATTTACATGCACCACAGAGTCATGCAAAATAACCATACCTTAACCTTAAAACCAGATTTTGGTTACAGATTATTGCAGCAACAGGTGGAAATAAAGCATTTGACATCACTGAGGCAAAAACAAAATGCCAATGGGTACTGTAGTCAAAGCTAGACACTCCTGCAAGCCTTTGAGGTCGGGACTTGTCCACATATGGTTTATAGTGTAGTTTCATCATTTATAGTTAGTGTTCATAAAATAAACCTACACTTTCCAAAGTGAATGACAAGTTGAACAAAGCTGCATGGGCAAACAATCAACGATAGTGAAGGATGTCTTTATTGTGTGGACTGACAAAGTATACAGTCCATCATCTCCATTTAATAGAATCTTTGTACATTTTTAATACACAGTCTGCTTGAACAATAGGTCTGGCTGTTAGCATTGTTGAAGAAATGCTAACTTAGTACTCTTCAGAAATCCGAACATCTATCTCTTCTTGCATGCTTAAGCTAAGAATGGGAAAGTGTATATTGATTGAATAGAGTGTGACAATGGGCTCTATGCACGCACCACTTCCGGGTTTTAGCTAAAGCCCCACCTCACTTCCTGTTCGAGGGAAACGGCTTGAGTTTCAAAGGAGTTCAGCAGTGGTTTACACGAGTTTCCCAAATAATGCTCAAACGGGAATTAAACTGTGAGGATACTGGGCATTTTTGGGACACAACAGTGCTCTTTGATTGTGCTGTCATTGTGTTTTTATAAAGTTTAAAAAATCTCTCTGAGTGGCCACAGTCAAAGCTTTGCCTCAGGGGGAAAGCAAAGCAACACTTTTGGGTCAGTCTCACAGCTGAATGCATCAATCCAATAACTAAAAAACGTCACTAAAACCCACCTAAATGCCATAGGATAGCATAGGCAGTGGACGGGCTGTGCGTTGTTAACAGGAAATGACGTCACGCCTCCCCTTGCATATAGCCCATAGGAGGCCACTTATCTGTAGTCCTCAACAAAATCAGGCAGTAACTAAAAGCATCCAAGTTTGGTTCATAACATACAAAGGGCACAATACATCAGCTCATCTCCAAGGAGATGTAATTGCTCATAATAAACCATAGTATTGCAGTTCTTCTTTTCAAATGCTTACTTAGAACTGTGCCATCAAATGCTTCACTTTGTGACAAATCAAATGACATAAAAACACGAGCACATTTCTTCTTTGGAAGAATTTGTATTAAAAGGTACACTGTAATTTTTAGTGCCATCTAGTGTTGAGATCTTATATTGCTGTCTATTAAAGTACTGGTGCCTTTGAGGTTGAGGAGCACTGTTGCCTATACTGTTTGAGAGTGCTCCTCAACTCTTTCACCTGACTGCCAAGGAAAGAATACTTTAGTTTGATAAATGACTAGATCTCTCCAAACAACTCGGGCACTTGACAATCGCATGGATCACCAATCACACGTGGTGTGAAGAGAAGAAACGCATGAAGGATTAACATCTGTGGGAGCTTAAAACTACGATGATCAAAGAAGCAGGAGATATACACAGCCGCGGCAGGACATGCCTAAAAGCTCATGTTAGCATTAGCGTTAGCAACAGAACATTCACTCACGCTGCTGATGAAGTATTCTGGCAATTGTTTTGTGGGGATTCTGTGTGGGTTTTATTTGAGGCTTTTTCCCTGAATAAGTTTAGTTGAAACTTGTGACAGTAGTTGGACTGCGCTAAGATTGGGTCAGAACATCCTGAGACTGTGTTGTAGATTCTGCCTCGTTCTCATTATTTTCAGTGTGAAAAAGTTACGTATTGTTCACGTGTGAGTCTGTTGTGTACAAACTACACAATGTGCCTCCTGTTGTGTTAACGCTGTCTTTGTGCGTGTGGTTTGCGATGTTTACACTTTGCTGCTATGACGCTGGACTTTTGCATAATTCTTTTTCTAAAATATTGTTGTTTGGATTGTTCTTTTACATAACTCTGGTCCTCTGTGGTTCTTTTACATAACTGTGGTCCTCCATGGTTCCTTCTTCCAACTTGTGAAGGCACGGTGAAAGCAACAATATCAGTAGCTCATGTGAAACTAAAACACGATTCTCGCATCCTTTTTGTCCTTTATCCACCGCTGTTTTTCAAGATGGCACATTTACACGGATAGTCCTCCTCTCTCATGGACACTTATAAGTGAAATTCTAAGCCTATGAATACAACTCAAAAAACATGGTGGGGGTAAATATTCTTAAAAAGGTCACATTTGTTATTAGTTAACATGTTTGTTAATATGGAGCAGCTGTAAAAATTGCACAGGGTGGCTTTAATGTTGATTTTACACCTTTTGCACTCAAGCCAACACATAACAGCCTTACATAAACGCTTCGCTTAGGTCAACTCCACACACTTCAATCAATAATGTGAGCCGTTTGTGAAATAGAAAAAAGACACAAATAACATTATGGTGGTTCAGGTGCATCTAGGAAGCTATTGAAATAATGCCCCGCGAGACAAGCGATCGAAGCCCACAAGTGTCAGACCATCAGCAGTCTGCATTTGACTCGATCAGTTCACAATCAAGGTAATATATATTGACAGCAGAGAAGCTCCAGACACAGGTTGTGTGGGAAACTAGACAGGGTGAAATAAGGTCTTTTCAGTTCCTTTCACATTCCAGCACATTTTTATAGCAGACATTTTATGCATTTTTTTTGGCCATAAAAACAATATATACATTTTGCTTTTAAAGGAGAAGAACGTAAAAGTGGCACTGTACTCTCCTGAATCAGATTGCTAAATCCAGCTAGAACCATAATATCTGAATAGACAAGAGTTTTGTCAACAACAAATCTATAACCAACACCTTTTTCACCAAGGCCCTGATAGAAATCCTCGTGTTATTCCTTATTTTGTCATTAATCTGAATTTCTCCTGCGGGGGTCCATCTATCCATCTATCTATGTAACAGTATAAACTTGATAAATATATAAGACTGACAGTTTGTTAAAACTATATCTCGGACCAAAACACAATATTGCAAGACATCTAAATTTTCCTTCATTAGAGAGAATGGAGATCATAGCTTGTTGCCATGGCACCTGGCAGCAGGAAAGTTACACTGCAGTAAAAAGTGACTCATTCTTACCAATCGTTTTCTTTGTTCAACACAAAACAAAATATTTAATTGCATTTTAGAATAAACAATAGCCCTCATTGTGGTTAAACTGGCGTAGATTTTTGCCTTGGTCTCCATCCTGAGCTAGATGTAAATGCAAGCGTAGCTTTAAAGCTTGGATACATAACTTAAAGACTACACAATGTATTAACCAGTTCTTAACGGTTTGGTGCTATGATTATTTTTTACTTGTAACAAGGGGCTAAAAATATAATAGTGCGTAAAACCAGAGGGTGGGTATCCAAATCTGGGTGGATTGGAGTCGTGGACAAGATGATGTTTGTGCGTGAGACAAGTAGAGGGTAATACTACCCCACACATTAGTCCCCTGGAGTCCTTTGTTAGCTTTTACAAAAGGGAAATTGTGTAGTTTGGTTCTGACAGGGAATTGGTGCACAGACTTCAGTCTGAGAGCGCATCTGTGGTGTCTGAGGGCGCTGGTCAAACTGCTTCTTTCATTAGGCTACAGATTGTGCATTTAGGCCAATCACAGCGCATAAATACCCGCCCTATGTGACCACAAGAAGAGCCAGGCTAAGCAGTTAGATAAGTGCTAGTTAGTCAGGGTGGGGGTCTGCCGAGAGTTCATGCTGTCCCTCTATATTTGTGTTTTGTGTCTACTTTACATTCTTGTCGTTTCACACCTCCCTGTAAATTATTAGTTACCATCTCATACGGTTTATAAATTGTCTTTGGGGAGACACCAGAACTGCAAGTGGCAGGTTTTGCATAATTTGTGCGTAATTTATTGTCTAGTTAAAATGAGAACCTATCAAAAATGGTTTCTGATCCGGGTGATTTTATGGCTCAGCCTAGTTTGGAAGTGTTTTCGCAATGTCAAGGCGAATCTTGTTGCTATAGCTGCCAAAAATAATGTATCTGTTAATAAGCAAGAGCCGTCATAGAGCCCGGTTTTAACCAGTGGGGGCGGGTCCCGGCTCAAAAGTGGCCAAATGACGTGCGCTGACATGCTTGCAATGCCACCCCGGGCCGATGGGGGTGGACCTGGAATAAGATTTAGCCAATGCTAATATATAGCATTAGCTGACCTATCGACGAAATGTCTTTACAGGATGGTCCAAAAGTTGGCTCTTGGCCCAAAGCTTCGTTCCACATGTGTGTCAATGCTGAGTGAATTTTGTAGGACCAGTCTAGTTTACTCGCTGTGAATTTTTGAAGTCACTCGTTTAAATGAATGGAGCTCGTGCCGACTGACGCATGCGCAGATGCGTTTTTTCACATTTTCCAGCCCCCGCGGCCAGTTTGAATCACTCCATGAAAGCCCAATTTTTTGCCCATTAGTTAGAACGGTGGAGATAGGCGTGACTATGTCCGTTAAGTCTATGGTTTTAACACATGTGCCTGTCACATATTTAAGCATCATATAATGACTTACAGATTGACAAACAATAATGCAAAATATTTTAGAAATCTAATACGATGATGACATGTGGTCGTCTGACTTTTTCACCGTTTACAAAACTATCTATTGGGCCAAAAAAAATAAAAAATATTTACAAAACAAAAAGTTGGGAACCTTAGCTAGAATTTAGGTGTAACCTTTGAAAGTCTTAAGAAATTACATACAGTAATAAAAACAAGAATGTTTCATGCTGGTAAAATGCATTTCAGTCATTTCAAAC